CAGTAATTATACCTCTGTCCATAACTGTTCCTCTTGGCTCCCCTCTAAACCAGCCACTTCAGCTGGTGTTCCATGAAAGGAAACATAAATTGCTGTGTTTCTAGGAAAAAAGAAAAACCAATGTCTTTTATGGGCATAACAAAAGATAATGTTCTAATATATTTAAGAGAGTTTTTTTTGTCAGTCATGTGACCTGAACTCTCACAGACTTTCTTACCTGGGCTAGCTTCAAACCTTAATTCTCAGATTTCAGCCTCCTGAGTAGCTCATATTACAGTGTGAGCTACCAGCACCCAGCTAAATATGTATGTGTGTGTGTGTGTGTGTGTGTGTGTGTGTGTGTGTTTTGTTGGTATTACAGATGTGAGCTACTGGCACCCAGCTAAATATGTGTGTGTGTCTGTGTGTGTGTGTATTGTTGGTTGAGGGGCCTGAACTCTGGGCCTGGGCAATGTCCCTCAGCTCTTTAGCTCAAGGCTAGAGCTCTACCACTTGAGCCACAGGGCCACTTCCAGCTTTTTCTGCTTATCTAATGCTGAGGAATAGAACCCAGGGCCTCATGCATGCAAGGCAAACACTCTACCACTGAGCCAACTTTCCAGCCCCTCTTTTGAGGTTTTGAGGTAGCATTCTTACTATGTAGCTCTGGCTGACCTGGAACTCATAATCTTCCTGTTTCAGCCTCCTTAGTGCTAGGATTATAGATGCACATCACAATGACTGGCTTTACTTAAGAGATGGTTAAGGGTAAGTTTGACTATAGGCAATATATGTCTTATATCACAACTTAAAACCAAAACATTCACAAAATGGGGATAAACCGTAGTTTAATAAATGTTATTTCTGTGTGTGTGTGTGTGTGTATGTGTGTGCGTGCACATGTGTGTGTGCACGTGAGTGTGCATGTGCCAGTCCTTGGGCTTGAACTCAGAGCCTTGGTATTATTCTGAGCTTTTTACTCAAGGCTAGCTAGCAGTCTATCACTTGAGCCATAGCTCCACTTCCTGCTTTTTAGTGGTTAACTGGAGATAAGAGTCTCATGGACTTTCCTGCTCAAGCAGACTTCAAAACATATCCTCACATCTCAGTCTTCTGACCCAGCATAGTTTAATTAATTTAAACGAAGAAAAGACTGAGAGACTCAATACATAAATTCTGGTCCAAGGGTGATGTTGGCCAAATAATTATCCTTTATTAATCTTTGGAAACAATGATGAAAGTAGAACTCGATATGAGAATACAAGGATTCAGTGGATCTTATAGATCATCTAGTTGAACTCTTTGTATTTTATAGAGAAGAGCCAATGTCCCCTGTCAAAGCAGTCTAAGGTTAGGATAGAATGATAACCAGTACTGAGGCCTCTGAACTTTCCAGTGTCTAAGCTCTGCCCTTCCCCTGTAGCACCAACCAGCCTAGATTCCTATGTCCCATCTGTGCACTGCAGGAATCCACAGTTGCAGCCACATTCCAAGGAAGCAGATGCTGCAGATGTGCACATGCCTTGAAACGCAAGGACTGAGAGAAGTCAGGCTGGAGAGGAATTCTCATAAATGTGAGCATCGGGTCCACAGCCTTGCACTTCTGCTTCTTTCTCCTCTTACCGATGCACAGTGTCAGTAGTTCCTGAGATGGCTCCCTAATGGGCCGGAAGGGCAGTCTGGGGCTTGGGTAGGGCTGGAAAGGGTTCTTGTGGACCAGGAAGTCCCTCAAACACACTCCTTGGATCCTATAGGAACTCACTCATGGATTAAAATAGGCTTAAACTGGGCGTCAGTGGCTCACGTCTATAATCCTAGCTACTGAGGAGGCTGAAATCTGAGGATCACGGTTCAAAGCCAGCCCTGGCAGAAAAGTCCATGAGACTCTTATCTCCAATTAACCACTAGAAAGCCAGAAGTGGTGCTGTGGCTCAAGTGGTAGAGCACTCGCCTTGAGCTGAAGAGTGCAGGGATAGTGCCCAAATCCAGAGTTCAAGCCCCACCACCAACAAAACAATAAAATAAAATAGGCTTAAAACTGGAGAAGTTATTCTGTCAAAGGCAAGTCTATGATGTTTAAAGTGCCCTGGTGAACGACAGTGGTGGTATGTGATATGTTCATCATCTCTACTCAAATAACTTGCCACCAAGGCATCTTCAGCAGACCATAACCTTTCACTGGGATTCCAAGACTACAAGCTCTATTGGCTATTATAAACATACTACATGGTTTTCTGGGGTTATCCTAACTAAGATAATGAAGGTGTGATAGAGTCATCTGGGAAATTCTGGTAAGGAAGATTCCGATGAGAATTCTGGAATTTAAGGTACCTTAGGAATCAATCATCTTATCCCACCTTCTCCTTGAACAGATGAACAAACAGAATTCTGGAGAGAGCTGTTGGCTTACCCTGGAAGCACATGGCATGCTCTGCTTTTATTTATATATGGAAAGAAAAGAGCTCCTTTCTCATTCAAAGCCAGGAGAAGTTCATATTCTGAGTTGGGAAGGCAATAAAAAGGTTTTAACTATGTGGGTAAGGCTTCTCTGTTTGAGAGTTCAGAAGTTCCAGCCCTCTTTTTACACTCTGACCTTTAGTCCCTTCTTCTTTCCTGTGGGAAGTTGATCAGAGTGGCAAAATTCAAGCCATGAGGCGGGTGCTGCAAAGCCAAGGCTGGGCAAGCAGTGAGCGCTAGAGTCACATCAATCTGAATAATTCCACTTTGCTTTCTTTTCTCTATTGGACCTAACTGAAGGATTGTTAAATGAATGTGTTCATTCAGAAGAAATCACTTTAAAAAAAAAAAAACAATAACAACAACATTTAGGACAATCCTATAAATGAGGATTAGACGAGTCTCCAGAGGGCCTGTATCCTGCCATTCAGAAAGTCTTGACTCCTGGAGTGAAACTCTGTGGGACATGTGTGCACAAGAGCCCTGTCTCTGTGTAAACCCCAGTTGTTGATGGATGTGGGTACAGCATCTTTGTAAGGAGAGGCTTGCTCATGTCTTATGGCTGCCAGAACCTCTGCAGAGAAGTGAATGAGAACACGAGGAAGGTGCTCTGGTAGTACAAGCTACCTCCTTTGTAGAAATCCTTCCCCCCCCCCCCAAAGGAATTAGAAAAATGTGACTGATTCAGAGATTCAAGGACTCTAGGGCATTTCAAGTAGAAGGATCAGTCAGTGAGATGCCTCAAGTAGACTGTGTCTTTGCAGTGCCCAGAGGTTATGTTTTCTAAGCCTGTTTCTCTACAGGGGACCAAGTCTTTTTCTCTTAACAATTCCATGGTCCTTAGGAGACTCTGGGGGCAGCTTCCTCTAAAGCAGTCATTCTGGGATACTGTCAACATCTGGAGACTTTTTTTGGTGTCGTAATGGGAAGTGAGCTGCCATTCACTGACATTTAACAAGGAGAAGTTATGAATGTTGCTAGGATTCCTACAAGGCTGAAGGTTACACTAAAGATTACGCTAAAGCGTTAACCTCTCCCTCAGAAAGAACTGTCAGTAGTGCAAAGATTTAGAACTCTGACAGGGCACCCTGGCTACTTCACATGGACCCCACAGATTGAATGGCAGCACCCTACAAATAAAAAGAGCTGGAAGCAGGAGGGGGTCACAGCCCCTCTTAGCAGCCATTCTCCCTCTCCTATGGCTCTTAAAAGCACTGCAATGTTCCCTAGCTCAGTGGGGACATAGCTTGTGAGTAGTTTGATGTTGGCAAAAAACAAACCATGGAGAGGCCACAAGGTGTGGGATTGGAACCTTGACTTGCTGCCAACTGGGTGCTCAGAGCCAGTAACTTTTAGGCTGGGTTCTTAGCTGTGAAATGGAATAGTAGTTCTTGTTTCATAGAGAATTGTAAGGATTGAATATTTTAAGTGTACAAGCATGTATAAATTCACTACTTTGTTATTGATCAAGTATTCTGGTTAATACAAAGTTAACTCTTGCTGAATTACTAGCTTTGGGAAAATAAGATTACAGTAATCACAACACCAGCACTAGAATTATTCGATAAAAACCATTTCCAGGCATCTAGAGAGAGCATAGAAAATAGGTTCTTAGGTCTCTATGTGTTTTGATAGGTACCATCTTAATAACCTCAATCCCACTGAGGAACATGGTTTGAAGCCAGCCCAGGCAGGAAAGATCATGAGATTCTTATATCTGATTAACTAGCAAAAAAACAGAAATGGAGGTGTGGCTCAGGTGGTAGAGCATCATTCTTAGGTAAAAAAGCTAAGCGACAGCACAAGGCTCTGAGTTCAAGCCCCAGTATTAGCACAAAGCAAACAAAAACAAAGCAGAAAAACCAAAAGCACATCCTGATCCCCTTTCTTGGTCCTACCTTAAAATGATAAATTCTCATCCATAGCAATTACAGTAAATAAGTTCACATATTATGGTCCTTTTCTTCTCTCTGCACCTCTCATGTGTTTTTATATACCCTGCTAACAGTGACTCCCCTTTGGGCCCTATTCCCGTTGCTGACAAAGTGCAAACTTCTTAGCATGCCATTCCCCTCCATTCAGCATTGCACCCTCATCTCCCTTCCAACCTCACATCTTACAATGCTTGCAAGTGCATGATTTGGCAGAGTTAGGCAATACTTTCTTATAGCTCAATTTTGGACATAATTACTGATTTGTTTTTGGATGATTACTGCTTACTCTGCTTGGGAATCTCGGAGCAAAGGTTAGTGGACACATTATAACCTTCAATAAGTGAAAATAATAATAATAATAATAATAATAATGTGTTTGGCTAAGACACATCCCATCAGCCTGTATGCTCATCATCCTACTTTGGTTTAACCTTGGCATAGCGCCCCCTGGCTTTCATTCGTTGCATTGTCACCTTGTGTATTTCCCTCTTGAGGTGAAAGCAACTCTAGGAGGGAGGGTAAAGCCATATTTAACTCATCAGCTGGTATATATTCATGGAACTATCTTGCACTACTAGCAGAGAACACACGTCCCTGTTAGGAAACTTTGGGTTGTGGGGGATTCCTCACCTTCACGTAGTCGTATTCACAAAGGTAGGAAGATTCCAAGTTGAAGTGCATGAAGTAAAGCTTGATCCGAAACCCCTCTGGGACAGTGATATTCCAAGTCACTTCTGAGTCACTTGGATAGGAGTCTGGATAGCCAGGTGATTGGATCTGGCCAAACATATCATTTAGCTCTACGACGTGGGTAGAAGCCTTCAACAGGGAGAGGCACAGGGCATGGTAGAAAAGAAGCCACCTGAAAGACATGAATGATTCTGTTTACATTAATGGACACAGGTCCTCAATACTGACCTGAATTGGCAGTCATATAATTAGAGTCAGGATTCGTGCTGTAACGCTGTACCCATTTGGCCATGCCATCCAGTCTGCAATAGGGGAGGAAAGAGCTGGATGTCTTCTAAGGATTTGTTTGAGTTTTGCACATTGTAGAATTAGCTATGAGCATTAACTTTTCCAAAAAGTATTATATTTGGGCCCCGTAGATACATTCTTTTACTCTCAAAAATTGCTTTCATAACTATCATTGGTATTATTTCCTCACTTCAGCTTCAGTTAAGAATCATAATTGTATGCATTTTTCTATGACATAAGTAATAAGAACATGGCAATATTAAGATGAGCGTATTATTCGGAGAAGAAATCTGCAGACTTCAAACAAGTTGATAGAAACATTTCAACCACAAAAATGAAATAAAGTATGCTGTGTTTTGAATTAAGACAGAATAAAGGTGTTTCTTCTTCTTCTTGGTAAGTGTTCTAATACAAGGGTCAAATGCCTATAGAGTGGCTCATGTCTCTAATTCTAGCTACTCAAGAGTCTGAATCTGAGGATCTGATTCAAAGCCAATCTGAGCAGCAAAGTCTATGAGGCTCTTATCTTCAATTAATCAGCACAAAGCTAGAAGTAGAGGTGTGGCATAAGTGGGCATAGAATGCCAGCCTTGAGGAGAATAGCCAAGTGAGAGTTCAAGGCCCCGGATTCAAGCCCCAATACCGGCATACACACACACACACACACACACACACACACACACACACACACACACACACGTGCACATACACACAGAGGTCTATAAATGGTTTCTGTAGGAATAAGAGCTAACAAACTGTTAAACGGTGTTGCAAGAATGGGCAAGGAAAGCCTGCTAAAATGTCCAGAGCACACCAACTGGGGATGATGCAAGAATGTGCAGAATAACCAATGCTGACAAAGCCCTACTGGTCAGTACACACACCAGGCCAGGTACCTGTGGAGCAGATCACTTTTCTTGTGCGAACTCCAGGGACCTGGAACTCAAATGTCCCAAACTCTGCCTACCAGCTTCTCTCTTCCAAAACACTTGCTCTATCACCGTCAGGATGGCCGAGCGGTCTAAGGTGCTGCGTTCAGGTCGCAGTCTCCCCAAAACACTTGCTCTTATTTCTGATTTCCTTTAATAGCCCCCAAATCTGAAATGTTACCATTTCTCTTTCCCTTTATACAACACGAAATAGTCACCAGTTTACTGATTTGGCTTTTTATGTTTGGGGAATTCATCTATCTTCCTTTCTAGCCAATTACTTAATTTCACAGCCCTCTTACCTGGACTATTGTTATAGCATCCTAATGGACCTTCCTGTCCCATGCTCCATTTTATACCATTATAACAATCTTCTTGATTTCTAAGCACAAGTAGGACCTTGTTTCTCCACTATACCAGCAGCAAAACACACCCCTGGCCTTAGGATGTCCTATAAGGCCCTTTTTGTTTCATCCTGTCTACCTCCCTGTCAGTGCTATGCAGGCCATTCCTTCCCATGGTTCAGCCCCATGGTAGCTGCCCCACCCACTGCTAACTATTGACATCTTACGTAGATCTCTGCTATCCAGTTTATTCCCAGACTACAAACTATTTCTTCTTTTCTCCAAATTCCACAGCTCCTTGTGTATGGCTCTATTCAAGCAGTTATCATACTGCCCTGCTTCAGGATTAGCCTTTGAAGTGCAAGGTACATAAGTTCATATCCCTGTTCTTCACATTGATTATATACATATATATATATATATATACATATATATACATACATACATATATATTATATATACGTATTTATAAACTTAGGAAACTAGTTTTCCTGGCAACAGTCTCCTTCTCCATATATCTTATATATAAAATTAGGACTATAGGGCTGGGAAGGTGGCTCAGTGGTAGAGTGCTTGCCTTGCAAGCACGAGGCCCTGGGTTCGATTCCTCAGTACCACATAAGCAGAAAAAGTTGGAAGTGGCGCTATGGCTCAAGTGGTACAGTGCTAGCCTTGAGCTGAAGAGCTGAGGGACAGCACTCAGGCCCAGAGTTCAGGCCCCACGACCAACCAAAAAAAAAATTAGGACTATAAACCCTAATTTATGGGGATCATATGAGCATTAGAGAAAATATATGTAAAGGACCAAGTACAGATCATGGTATGTAATACATTATGAACGAATAAATAAAAGAAAGAAAGAAGTTGAGGCCAGAGTCTTAGCCTACAAAGTCAAAGCTGGAAAATGATACCAGACTTTGGGATTAACATCCATGTCTTCACCAGTCAGGAAGTTGTTTCTCTGAAAATTCTTCTTCTCATGTATTCAGGTATATATGTGCATACACATGAGTTTTGGGGTGTGTAAATACAGCCAGAGAGCTACATGCATACATACTTTGTCTGTTTTATATAATCTTTACAAAAAAGATGAATAAAGCAATCTAAAAAATCTTGAAGGCTAGACACAAAGGCATTAACAGAGGTTGTCTGTGAAATGGGAACATGATTATATTTAGTTTAAAAAAACACACACACATATTTAGCTGGGTGCTGGTAGCTAGCTCATACCTGTAACCCCAGCTACTCAGGAGTCTGAGGTCTGAGGATTAAGGTTTGAAGCCAGCCCAGGTAAGAAAGTCTGTGAGACTCTTATTTCAATTAACCACCAGATAACCAGAAGTGGAGCTGTGGTTCAAAGTGATAAAAAAAATGCTAGCCTTGAGTGAAAAATCTCAGGGACAGCACCTAAATTCAAGCCCTATAACTGACCAAAAATTTTAAAAAAGCTAAAATTGGTCTAAAAAGACACATACAGTTTTTCAATTAAAAGGAAAACATGGTTATTTGTTTTTTCCAAGGGTTCTACAATAGTAATTTGTGGGATGCTATTAAGAAAAACAAAAATGTTTGAATCCAATTGGTAATGTCAATATTTTTCTAAATCAATCTGTCAAGAAAGGGCAAAGAGAACAAATCATGTTAAGTGAAGTAAGCCAAGCTCAGAGAAATAAAGGACACATGTTTTCTCTCATATGTGGAAGCGAGATCTAAAATAAAACTAAATATGGTCACTTACCTGGGGCTTTGTGCATTTACACACAACAAACTGACTAAAAGAGGGCCTATGAAGGGGAGGAAGCCAAAGGCGTAACTCCTCTGACCATCTAAAGTACTATTCATCAAAATGAATTTCAGGCAATGGAAACGTGGGAGGGATTGTTTTTTGTTTTAATTTATTTTGCTTTTCTTTTCTTGGAGGCAGGCAAGAGGGGCACAGGAATGGAGGGCAGACGGGTGAGCAATCATTGTAGTCATTGTACTCAATATACCCTATGTAAAAAACTAACTATGTAACTTGTGGGTAGGGATGGGAGGGGGAAAATGGGGGGAAAGCAAAGGAAGGGATGGAAATGCCCAAGGAGCATTGTACTCATACCCTGACTCATGGAATTGGAACCCTTTTGTACAACTCCTTAATAATTAAAAATTTATGAAGACAAAGGACAAAGGGAAGGAAGGCTTGGATTCAAGATGTCCAGTCAATGAGGAGGAAAATGGAGTCCAGAAACTCAAATTTAAAGGGTCCAGGTACCCCCATGTCAAAGGGAGGAAATGAATTGTTATTACCAAGGCTGGGGTTCAATTTTTTTTCCTTTCTGATTCTGGGCTTGCTACCAGTTGCTTGTGCTATGCCTGAGCATTTTTTCCCCCTCAAAGCTAGTGTTCTACAACTTGAGCCACAGCTCCACTTCTGGCTTTTTGATGGTTAATTTAGGAATAAGAGTCTCATTGGACTTTCCTGCCTGAGCTGGCTTTGAACCATGATCCTTAGATGTATCTGCTGAGTAGCTAGGGTTACAGAGAGGAGCCACTGGCTCCTTGCTTAGGTTCAGTTTTACTGAGGAGGAGAGAGCACATTCAACTCCCAGACCTTGACTTTGTCTGCCTCCCTCATTTTAGGAAAGTGATGGAAGTTTTTCATTCGCTTCTTCATCTCTTACACGATCACACTCCTGCTATCCACGGGAAGATTGGAAAGTACTTTGTTAAGTGTCCAGCCCTGTGCAAACATTATCAGTGATGACTCCATCACACCGCTTCCCGAAAAACAGGTATCAGCCATGAGCTTTGACTCCCACACTCGGCATTCCAGCAATAGTGACAAACCAGATTTTGTAAGGCTGAAAGGTCGACTTTTTTCCATGTCTGCTTTATCCAGATCACATGGAGGAAACTGAGTCTCCTCAGTTCAGTTCTGTCAAGGGCTGGCAGCTCATCAACCCAGGTCGCCCCGGGACCCAGGGCCATGTGTGGAAGGCAACTGATGAGCGTGGGAGGAAAGCCTGTGACGTGATCTGTTCTCTTGCGCATCTTGAGGCAGCTGGAAACATATGAAGCAAATATCTCTGCTCACGAAATGGGCTTGAGCATATGCTTGCTGGTTTGCCTTAAAGGCTATGAAGTGAAGAATCTAAGTGGCACCTTTCATTCCCTGTCACACTCTCTGATTCTTTTTGGCTTCTTATCTACCCAGGCACTGGCTGTACAATTCCTGACACCCATTAATCAAAAAAGTTGAGCTTCTTTTGTTTAAACTGTCAAAAGTTATAAGGAAAGCTGGGATCTTCCAGGCTTCAGTGAGGAAGCAGTCTGTGGGAGATGCATGAAGGACTCTGCTGTATCTATGGTTCTGGAATGAATAGCACTTTTGAACCTCTCCATTCACTCTCCTCATTTTAACCTACACAATGCCAAGACTCCATGTTTGGTTTAAGAGTTGGAATCGACTGTAAAGGTCTTTTACACACCACAGTCATTTAACAGATGATAAAAAGGAGACCCCCAAGAGATGTCACATCATGTCTGAGACCATATGTTGAATTAACTTCAACAGAAGAAGGAAATAACAAAAGCTCACAGAAAAAAAAATTGGGACTATGCCCATATCATGCCCAGGCAT